ATCGCCACCGTCGGCAGCAATTACAGTAGATCCACAGCATCAGTCTCATCACCATTTCAAACCCAACACTGCGGAGGGCCGAAGTAGACCACTAAACTCTGACTCAACCCCGATTAACCCGACTAAGGATGATAAAACTATCAGGATTGGTTCTGACAGGGAGGCTATAGCTGTTTCTAAGTCCCTGGCACTAGACAGCACAAAAATTGTTATGGATACAAGTAGAAAAAAAGATGAATCAATCATGGAACCGATGACTCCACCCATTGTGCGATTATCGCGAGCTTCCGATACAGCTGATGGTCGATATTTATTGGCTAGACTCTTAGGCTATTCCTGGCTTATCTCCATGACCAACCATCCACCGTGTGTTTTGATGGGCACACTAACACCAGCATCAAATTAATGTTAGCTTCGGAGGGACTTCCTAGTGACTCGGACTCATTGCGGAAGTTATATTTCCGTTTCCATAACGCGTATGGCATTGGTCTGGCTGAAGTTGACGCTGATCTCTCCGCCTTCAGGTCTTACTTCTCGTCCGAGAAACTTCTCCGGTTACAGAATATTAGGGAAAGTCAGAGCAAATATTTCTCTAGTGGCTCTCCACGTAATAATAAAAAAATTTAGATAAGGTGACGCGACCAGAGGATCAAGCACCCTCTGTAAGGTTGGACGATGGCAAGCTTAGTGTATTTCTTATTAATATTCAGTCCTTAAGACACAAAACAGATGAATTATTTCTTTTATTAGAAGAGCTTAATTTTCCAGAAATCATCGCCATTACTGAACACTGGTTAAATATGGATGAACCTGTGTTTGTCAAAAATTACACCTCAATAGCTAGATTTAATCGAAGTAATTTATCTCACGGAGGCACTATGATAATGTCCACTAATAATGACTTTACGGCAATAACCAAGTTTGATAATTTATTATCGGAAAAAATATTTGAATTTTCCATCGTCTATCATAGTGGCTTTGACCTTTATATTGTTTGTTTATATCGATCACCGGACACAGACGCGCACATGTTTTGTCGGAATTTGCTGAGCTTGCTTGACTCCTTGCCCTTGAATTGCAAAATAATTTTATGTGGTGACTATAATATAAATTTTTCCTGTGTGTGCGCTGCTCAAGAATCTCTCCAGTCCATTTTCGACTCCTTTGGGATTGTGATGCATGTAAACTCTCCAACCAGAATAACCAAAACTAGTTCTACTACCATTGACTATGTCGCTTCATCTTTTGATCCAGAATTGATTAACTGTTCTATTTTTGGTGCAGGGTTTTCTGACCACGAAGCAGTATTAACGAATTTCTCATTGAATTCCTTACGTAAGGGTGCTTCCCGCAAATGGGGCAGAATATTTTTGGATGGAAATTTTTAAATTTCAGTCAACTTTGCTTATCAGTTGACTGGGTCGTCCACTCAGATGATGTTGACTCCGAGTTCTCTAGATTCATAAATACCCTATCTGACCTGGCGACTAAATCCTTTCCTCTCAGACCCATCAAAGTCAAACGGCATAAACCATGGTCCACTAGTGGCTTGCGTACTTCTGGAAAAAATATGCGATCCTTGTCTCATCTAAAAAAATTCTCGGATAGCGTCTTCTTCAATGATTACGTAAAATTATACCGAAAAGTCTATCAGAAAACCATAAAAGCCGCCAAAGACATTTATTATAATAGGAGGCTGGCAAACTCCAAAAATGTTGCAAAAGAAACATGGTCAATTGGTAATGACTTGAGGAATAAGGCTTCTTCATCTAGCAAAATTCCTACTTCACCTGAGATCCTTAACGATTACTTTGTTGATGTGGCTAAGAATTTGGTGAATACCTTAACTCCTTCCCAGGACCCACTTTCATATCTCCCGAATGCTAAGGTGAACTTACACAGTTTCTTCTTCACGCCTGTAGTAGTTCCAGAGCTTCGCAGTACAATCAAAGATATTAAAAACAAATCTTCATCTGGGACTGATGGACTCACCCTCAAAATGTTCTCTAATCTTCCTGATTGCACATTAAAACATCTTACTACTCTGATCCACAAGTCGTTTCTAAATGGAGCTTTTCCAAACTGTCTTAAGATGGCGATAATTATCCCACTGCATAAGGGAGGTGATAAGGAGCTACCTTCAAACCATCGCCCCATTGCACTCCTTCCTACGCTATCAAAGATCATAGAAAGATTGGTTAAAAAGAGGCTTCTATCATTTCTCTCTAAATATAATATTCTAACTACCAGTCAATTCGGTTTCCTAAGTAACAAATGTACTAATGATGCAATGTTTTCCCTTTTCAATAATGTATACTCCAGCCTGAACTGCCACCACTCTACAGCCTCAATTTTCTGTGATTTCTCCAAAGCTTTCGACTGTGTTAATCATAATATCTTAATTAACAAATTACAGTTCTACGGTTTCAGAGGAATGGCTCTCGAATGGTTTAAGTCTTATCTTAGTAACAGAAGTCAGCTTGTGAGGGTGGACTCGACCATGTCCTCTTTTAAACCAATTGAATGCGGTGTGCCTCAGGGTTCAGTTCTTGGCCCTATTTTGTTCCTGCTATTTATTAACGACATTGCTAGTCTGGATATTAGCGGCAAAGTTTGTCTCTTCGCAGACGATACTAGTTTCACTAGGAGCAACCCGGATATTACGGAACTCCATAGAACCGTATCTAGTGACTTAATCACCATCAAATCATGGTGTGACTCAAATCTCCTGTGCCTCAACCTCTCTAAAACCAAAGTTTTATCTTACAGAGCTTCGCTCCAATCTGTAGTACTGGATAACAATACCATGGAGGCTGTTGATTCCGTGAAATTCCTGGGGCTTGTTGTTGATAAATCTCTAAAGTGGGACCTGCATATCGACGCCTTAGCAAAGAAATTAAGTTCGGCCTGTTTTGCACTGAGATCTGTTTCCAGGGAGCTTAACTCGGCAACTTGCAGGATGGTATATTATGCTCTTTTTGAGTCGCATTTACGTTACGCCCTTCCATTCTGGGGCACGTGTTGTGCGTCTCAATTTGAACGCATTTTTAGACTGCAGAAGAGAGCTCTTCTTTATTCTTTGGGACTTGGTAGTAGAACTCACTGCCGGGAATTTTTTATCAAGTCTAGTATATTGACTCTTCCATCTTTATTTATTTTCGAATCCGTCTGCTTAATTCGTAAGCACTTAATATCAGCTATCTCAGAGAGGCCATCTCACAATTATCCACTGAGGAACGCAGAGTTGGATCTTTATCTGCCAATCCCGCGCTCAGAGTTAGTTAAAAGTTCAATACTTTATAATGCTAAAAGGATGCATAATCATCTACCGCCTAACATCAGGTCCATTGCATCTTTTCTCGAATTTCGCAGGGCGTTCAAGGTGTATTTACTGAGGAGAGCCTTGTACACAGTAAGCGAGTTGTTTATGGTTTCCTAATTCTAAATTTTGAGCAGCTTACTCACAGGTTTTGTTTTTGTTCCTGTATCATGATAGGTTATTATAAGTTATTGTTTGTTTGTTTTTTTAGTACCTATAATATGCTTACTCGCACAGTCCACAAAATTGTAAAATTTTCTGACAATAAAGCAAATTTTTTCTTTCTTTCTTTCTTTCAAACCTACTTACCATCGAAGGCCAAGAAATAGAGAGTGTGAGCGAATTTGTCTATTTGGGACACCAGATCAAGCTTGGGAAAGAGAACCAAAAGGCTGGAATTACCAGAAGAGTGAGCATAACCTGGGCAGCATTTGGGAGGTTGCGCTTTATCCTGAAAAATCCCGATATTCCTATAAACATGAAAAGAAAAGTTCATGACATGTGCATACTCCCTGTACTGACGTACGACCTGGAAGCCATGACACAAACCATAAAAAGTGCAAAGAAATTGAGAGTCACTCAGAGGGGCATAGAACGCACAATGCTAATCATTAGTCTGAGAGACAAGATAAACAACTACGAAATATGTCGACGCACGGGTGTGAACGATGTGATGTGATCCCGTGCATAGCAGAAGCAAAGTGGAGATGGGCAGATGGACAAAAATAGTCATGCAGTGGAGACCAAGAACACACAAACGCGGCAAATGGAGACCCCAAAAGAAGTGGATGGATGACATTTACAGAGAGAATGGCAACACATTGCACAAGACCGTCAGAGATAGAAATTGGAAGGGGATGACTATGTTCAGGAGTGGACGCGACTGGGCTGCTTATGATGATGATGATGATAACTTTGGCGTCCTCTGGAGGCTAAACTATCAGCCGCACAAGGTTCGGCCAATGATGGCTTTTAATCAGACCCTTAAAAACTACAGCATATCCAAATTTTAGAAAAATCTGTCGGAGATCCATTTGCCATAAGAGAAGTGCCTCCTCCTTTGATGAATATCTACCTATATCCTACACTACCTATGATTTAAGTGAAATTGATAAGTTTTATTCAGTCCGGTTTTCCTCTCCTTTTTATTTTAGGGTAGTTTTAGGTTATTTTGACTCTTTTAATATAATCTCTGTTTGTATTTATGTTGAAAATAAAATTTTTGATTTGATTTTTGATTTTTTGTGGTTTCTTTTGCTGGAAGAATTTTCTATATTTCGTGAATCTTTTAACATTTTATTTGAAGAAAAAAAAACTAAATATTACCTGAAAGTTTCTTGGGTTTATGGATAGGAAAAGAAAATCAATTAGTATTTCGGCTGGTTTCCTTTCTTATTTTATCCCTAAATCCAAGAAACTTTCAAATGGAATTTACAGGGAACGAATCACAATCTATTAAAAATTATTTGAGGAAAAACAAAATGAGTCACCATATTCCATGTTGCATTTTTTTTTCTCTTCGTCTTCAAATTGAAATTATTATTCAGTCAAATTAAAGCTTTTATTTGAGTCTTGCCTACTAAGTCGTGTATATTAGATGTGATCAAAATAATCTCGATAAGATATAGATGCCTTATAAAGACAATGCTATATAGATTACTGGCACTGTTATATGATAACGAGGTTAGAACGTTAAATTTCTCTTATTTTGGAAATTTATTTATATGTGTTTTTTTTTTTTGCTAAAAATGTCTCTTAAATTATTAGCAATACTATGTATTGCGCCTTTGGTATGTAGCCAAAATTACAGGTTATCAGGGACTGTAGAGCCATTGTCCTATATTGTGCATCTGTCTATTCCCACAGGAGTTTTTACTGGAGTAGATGATACTTTTACAGGTAAATTATTTTGCATTGGAAGCTACATGAAATTAATATTGATCTATTTTCTAGGCGAAACAAAAATCAACTTTAGAGTAACAAGTACAAACATATCTGAAATACAATTACATCATCGAGTGAAAAATGTTACAGTTGAACTAGCAGTTAATGATTTGACAATGATAGCATTTCTTGAACCTACTTATAATGAAACAACTGAAATTTACACTATACCAACCGCTACGCCGTTAAGTGTAGATACAATTTACACATTAACATTTACGTGAGTTGAAGCAATTTTTTTTTTTATAAAAATAAAATTAGGCTTGTATCTTTACAGTTATTCAAATACTTTCGAAGCTAAAAACATGGAAGGATTCTACTCCAGCAAATACAAAAATGAAAATAATGAGACTTCCTATCTGGTAACTACTCAGTTTCAACCTACTCATGCCAGGCACGCTTTTCCTTGTTTTGATGAGCCTCAATACAAAGCTACTTTTGCTGTTAGTTTGACTTATCCATCGGGATTATTGGCTTTAAGTAATAGTTTGGAGGATAATACCACTGAGCCTGTGTGAGTAAATTTAGATATTTTTTCAAATTTAATTAGGTAGTATTGATTGATGCTGATGAGGGGGTTTAATCAATTTCCGCTTGTTACAAAGATGTCTTCAAACATGCTTAAAATTGACTTTACTTACAAATTGTAGCTATTGTCATTTTATATTTTATGGTAAAAAGCTCAAATTTGATTTGAAATAGCTCATATGCCAAACATAATATATCAACCCTGCTTTGGAGTAATATGTATAGATAGCTTTAATTGATTTTGATAGCTATAGTATCTACAAGAAAAATTCAATATGATGCCATTGTATAAGATATTGTTTTGTGTCACTATAGTACAGTTTATTTTTTCCCAAGATAGATTTTGACGTTGTCACCTTTGAAACATAAACAATGCCGCTTATTGGTCGCAAGATGACATTTGCACGACACGCATTGCAAAACTGATTCAACCTGCAGGGACACCTCATTTTGCGACCTGCAGGGATACCAGTTACAAATCAGTACGCGATGTACGATTTTTCAAAAACAAATTTATTTCACTTAAAACTATTACAATATTTTTACGTTTAAAATTTATTAAATTTCGAGGCGTCGAAAGTGACTGCAAAGCTCTGACTGACGACGCTCGGCAAGTAGAAGCTGCAAAAAGAGAATACAGAATGCAAGCTAAGGTAAAATAATATGCTGATTAAATAAAATATACAATGTAGAACCGTATGTAACTCCTCCCTCATTAGATTCAACTAAACATGTTGAAGGGGTAGTTGAATAATTGGTTCTTGGATTGGATCTTCTGGATTGGCTTCTTGAGCTCTTCGTGGTCTTCGTCTAAGTTGAGTCAGTTTCTTGTAGGTGCAGTAGCTGACGAAAATTACCATTAGTAGGTAAATGAAGATAGTCCAAATATTTGGGGCTTCGACGATTTCGGGAAACGGTGTAAAATTAAGTTGATTGTCCTTAATTTGGTTTTTGATTTTTTGGAGGTCATCTAATTTCAGGTCATCTAGATGAACACTCAAGTTAAGTGTTCGCAGTAGTTCTTCTTGATTATTGAAATCAGAAAATAATATAGGCTGGGTTTTTGTTTGGCCTACGTGTGCGTTGTTTATAATCACTTCTTAATTACTGTGATTAATTAGTTTGCAATTTTTTGGGATTTCGGCAAAATATGTACCAATAATTTTTGGTATTCTTCTTGGTCGCTGCATTCCATTTTGACTGTTTCTTCTTTGGGAATAATTATGATCCATTTATTTGAGAGGTCCAATTGATTGACTATTGGGATCGAAATCTTAACTTCGATTTGTTGACATGATTGGACTTGGTTACTTGATTCCAATAATTGGATTGCACATGGATTTTTGGTTGTGATTTCTGTGAGAACCATTTTGTCACAGATATAGTACTGGTTCTGGATTTCCTGGCATTCCGTATATCGATATGAGAAGTGCAATTTGTTTTTTACCAAGAATTTACTTTTTGGAATGATTGTTTTGAATTTATTTTGTTCGTAAATCGGTATTGAGTATAAATGATAATAGTCGAAATTATTTTGATAAGTGATAGGAAATCGAATCAGAAAGGTAATTTTGTTGTTTAAAATAAAACTTTCTATTTTTACTAATTTCTCGTATAACAATGTATTTGCTAGAGTAACCTCTAAGGGCATACTTTTCGCATTCACAATTTTTTGGATTCTTTGCAACTCAAAATATAGATTTTCAGTTTTTATGATACTCGGATGTAGTATTTTCAGTTTCGAAAAGATAACTGCGTTTTCTACATCTTGCAGTATTGAGTCAATGATTTCGTATAAATTAATTACTTGATTGAGGGTATCTTTAATAATATTAGCATTTTCTCGGAAAGTGCCCTTTTGTACAATTAAACTAATCTGGTTTAATTTGGATTCGAGTAGGTTCTCGTTTTTCCCAATTTGTTGAATAGTTTTATTAAATTGTTCAATCAGCTTAATCGAAATGGCATTTTCCTTTAAGGCTTTTGATTTTATTTCAATTTGATTACTCTGTAAATTTTCAATTAGTTGTTCATAACGTTCTCCATGTGATGCGTCTAGGTTACCAGTAATTGTTTTGAAAATTGATCCGACTGCATTAATAAGCCCGCGTCTTGTGCGTTGTGGGTGTGGAATTAATTCTTTTAATTTTGTTTCAACACGGTCTTGAATTAAGAATAGTATTTTTATATAGTTACTAGTTTCGATCTTATATTCTGCGTGCGTATTTACGTTATCGGTCAAGTTCTTTGATTTTTCTTGAAGTTTGTTGGCTTCATTTATGATTGGATTGAGGTCATAAAAATGACTTAGCGTAAATGAATATTCTTCTAGTTTGGCTTGTCCTAATTTAATTGGTAATATTCCAGGGTTATCAGCGATTTCTTCTAATTGAATTTTGTCTTCAAGGGCAATTGATACTTGTAGTATCCTGAAAAGAGAATATGGCAATTAGTCAAAGCTATATTTATTTTTTAACGGACGTTTTATGTTTGACAAGTGCAGTGGCGTAGCTAGGCGACGGCGACGTCGGCGGCTGCCGACGGCCTCGCGCCCTAAAGAGCCTCGCAAAAAATAAATTATCTAACCTAAAAATTGGTACTTGGTGATTTTCCAAAATAAAACGTAGAGAACAAATAAACTTAATCCTATACGAAACTTAACTAAATATCATAGAATTCAGTAAACATTATTAATTCTACTGCAAAATAACCTAGAACTCTCAAATCATATGGATTTATTTTTTCGATAGATTTTCGGAAGGATTTGTTAGCGACAAATTAAAAAATATTATTATTTTTGACTAAATATTGTTATTTCGTACGTAGTATTCTGTAGTATTAGCATTCTTCCAAGTTCCAAGGCTTTAGATCAAGTGCCTTAGAATCTTGCATTGGTCTCCAAAGCTATGGTCTTGAGAGTCAATCAGTAAGACATTTCGAAACCTTCAGGATTTTCAGAATTTTCAGTCTGCATTGGCCCTAGAATAATTGATCAAAAATCCGACATCTTTTGCATCTTCTGATTTTAGCTCAGTAAAGTCCTTATTTCAAAATATTTTGAAAAATGAGTCTTCAGAGACTTCAAAATCCCTAGAGTTTTCAGTCATGAGCCTCAAAATCTTTAAGGTGTTAAAAGTATAAGGATTCTTCCTAGTTCCAAGGCTTTAAATCAAGTGCGTTAGAATTTTGCCTTGGTCTCCAAAGCTATGGTCTTTAATGTATTCTTAGCTCTTAGCTCAGTAAAGTTCTCATTTCAGAATATTTGAAAAAAATATAGTCTTCAGAGATTTCAAAATCCCAAGAGTCTTCAGTTAAGAGTTTTCAAGATCTCTAAGTTTTGCAAAGTATAAGGATTCTTCCAAGTTCCATGGTTTTAGATCAAGTGCCTTGGAATTTTGCATTGGTCTCCCAAGCTATGGTATTTAGAGTCTTTATCCCCGACATATTTTGAAACCTTCAGGATCTTCAGAATCCATAGTCTGCAATGGCTCTAGAATAATTGATCAAGAATCCAATACCTTCTGCATCTTCTGATCTTAGCTCAGTGGCGACGCCAGGGCTTTATGTTAGGGGGGGCCAGACTGGGCCAGAATAAATTTAGGGGGGGGGACACTTGATTTTACTTTATTGCTTTGCTTTGGTACCCTATTTAAATCACCACAAGACATATCCAAGTAAAGATAGTTATTTTCCTAACAAGTGCGGAAAGTGTTAATTTTCCGCAAGCAAACCCAGTTTGTATAGATGATATAGAAACAGAGGAAACATTTTTCATCATGTGTCAAAGTCGACAGGTGCACTTTTTGCTTGATAATTAGTTTTACTTCTTTGCACTCATTGCGGATGAAGACCTTATGCGCACAGAGTGCGAAAAAGTGTAACTTTGAGCAAGGAAATGCATGCGGAAAACGGAAAACTACTACTTACCGAAACCTAAAACCTAAAGCCGTAAAATTCTTCGGTTATTATGATTTTTAGCAAAAGTATATGCTTTTCAGATATTATTGGCGTAGCATTATCCATGGAAATTTGACTTATTAAACAATAAGCTTAACAGCATAAATATGTTTTCGCAGTAACTTTTTTTTCGGGTTTGGTCCAACAAAAATATTGGTTGCTGGTTGTAAGAAATGGCTTTACATCTATATTTAAACTATACCTACCCCAAATATATCTGGTAGTTGGGCTTTAATTATTATTCCCTGAAGAACCTCTGGTTTGCTTTCAGCCGTAACATTTCCTATTTCCCTTATTTTCTCTTGAGAAATTATTTTGGGCATCCTAAATATGAAATAAATTTGACAATGCCGAATTTTGAAAAATGTCAATGGATTTTGCAGGTATGCAGAATAGTAAGGTACCGTTTATGTATTGCAAATTGCAATATTGAAAAATGTGACAAATTTGATTGACCAGATAGGCCAGAGAGTTTTAATACTGCGATACGTACGAAATTATGTGAAACACACTTAAAACTGTTTGGAATTTGACATATACTGTCATTATTATACGAGGGTGAAACTGTCAAATTTTCATGGATAATGCTACATCAATAATATCAGAAAGGCAAATATCAACAATATTATCGAGATTCATATTATATCTATATATATAAACGTGAAATTCACTTACTCACTGACTGACTGACTGATTAAACACGAAATCTCGAAAACTACTAAACCAATCGAGATGAAATTTTGCAAACAGGTAGGTAATAGGTTGGAGATACTCACTAAGAAATAATATCAACATGGCCTTAAGCAATCGCCTTAAATAACCAAAAATATGAAACGGTGTGGTGCGGGCGGGAGTGCGGGGAAAAAAGTGTAAACAGAAACAGACGACGTGTCAGCTGTCAAATTCAGACATATGACAAGCAGAATCAAATTCATAGCGATTTCCATTTACAGAATCAGTGCAAAAAAAAATGTGTTTTTGTCGTTATATATTTTCATGCTTTCACCAGAAACGATTCGGAACCGATTC